TAAGTCGTCCCCTTTCCCCGTATGTATCGGTATTGGGTAGATCAACGTCGTGACTGTTCAACACTGTAACATGACGAACGTAAACACGTTGGAATTCGATGGTAAGTGTTAAAGTTGTAAACAAATGTTTGTTTTGTTTTGATATTTACTGTTTCATACTAACGGAACACTTTGTATATGGCATAATAAAACATCCAAAAAATTGTTGACTTAATGTGTTTGTTATCTTTTGTAAAAGCATGTTCTTTTCCCAGCTTGGTGAACCGAAACTTCAAGATACCTGAAACTTGTTTATTTTGAGAGCAGATTTCTGATTGGCTAATGATAAAATGAAGGGCCAATCAACAGAAGCCTGATATAACCGGTGAACAGTTTAATAATTCCCAATGAAAAAAGACAAACAATGACGTTGCTTTCTATCATTTATATCAGACTGTTCACTCTTCATGATAAGAAAGAAAAAAACATTGAAGAAACAAATATAAAATAACAATTGCATACACATATCACCATTGAGTGGAGGGATGCATACAAGTAAAATATCCATCATTATTCATGTTGAAACTTGCATATATGTATTGATGTTGAGGGTAGGGATATCTCCATACAAATACAAGTATTAGTACTAGTCAGCAGCTAATGTTCATTGTGATTTGATGGATTCTTTCACAAGTCGGCTTTTGTGAACCCATCGAACTCTGTGTCCAACTCCTCCCCTGCCAGGCTTGCTCATCTAATTTGTCGTCGTAATAGTCATCAATGTGTGTGAGTCGTCGTTTTCTTCACTTTCGATGTCATCATGGGAGGTTGACTTGATGAGGTCTGAGAAGAGTTCATCGTCTTAACTGCCGTCCATGACATTTGAAATACCACACTTTAGGAAGCTTCGTCGGACCATATCCCCCGCGGAATAGCATCCCACGAGTCACGCACCCACGTAGCGACTATAGGGAGGGGCGCATGTCTCATGGCGTTGTTCTTAGTGAACGTGTGTTCACCATTCACCATCTACTCGGACCACTGTTGTTGCACTCTCTGTTTGACCGGCTTGTTGAGGGAGATATCCAGGGGCTGGAGGAGTGACATGCACCCACCGGGGATGACCACTTGTCTTGTCTTGTTTACCTTTAGTTTCTTCTTCATGCCGTCACACAGATGCGCTCGAAACATGTCCCAGACAAGGAGAGACTGACAACCTCGGGCACCTCCCAGTTTAGCCATCCATACGTCTGACAGCCAGCACAGCACCACCGTCTCGTCCATCTACCCCTTGGGATGTACATTGATGATGACACCCAGAGGAAACTTCTCTTTAGGCATCGTCTTCCTCTTGAATATCACCATCGGCGTCAACTTCTTTCCATCGGCGGTGCAGACAGTACGACGGTGAAGTGGGATTTCTCTGCTCCAGTCGTCTTCACAGTGACGGTTGACGACCCCTTGGTGTGAATGGTCCTGTTCCCTGGCATGTAGAATGTGAGGGGAGTCTCGTCCATGTTACCTATTTGTGACAGTTCATAATCAATGGCCTTCCTCTCTTTCAAAACGAACGTGTGGAAAAGGTCCACCTTCGTGTCCACCTCCTGGGGTAGTTTCTGTGCGATGTGTGTCTTGTGTGAGAGCAACGTTGTGTCTTCCTAAGAATCGAGTACTCCATGTAGAGGATGCCTTGAAATTCTCAGGAATGTTCAGCTCTTTCCTATTCTTCCTGTACGTCTGGAGAGCGTGATGACGTATCATCATACGTGTGACGATAAACCCGCTCTGCGACATCACCCACTCTTCTACTTCCATTTCTAACTCGACGAACAGGGTTTTCAGTCCTCGTCTGGCCTTCTTCGTTTTCGGCATCTGAAGAAGAGCGTCCTTCATCTTCCTCCAGTCATGTACGTGCTTCTCATTGTCTGAGAACTCCCTTGCAACCAAACAGTTGCTGTTCTTCTATGCGAAGTCGATCACTTGCAACTTGAAGGAGGCTTCGTAAGCGTGTCGTTTCCATTTGATATCCATGACGAATGATGATTTTGAATCTAAACGTATGTTTTATACTTTCAAGTTATTCCAGCGGAAATTATTGAACTAGCAACACCTGCTGTAGTGAACTGAATATATAACAATGAGCAAATTAAGTCATCTGATTTAATGGAATTTAATGCTTGTTGAACGCTTATACATCCATAATCTGTATCTGCTGAGAAGGATATATACAGTCTCATTACTGTTGCGTGTTGATAAACATTAACTAAATGTTAATAAACACAACAAAGCGAATACCATTCCCAATTACGTAAATGTATCCCTAGTTAGATCCAGCAAGTTCAACTTTTGAAGGGGCGTAAAAACAAACTGGTGAGCTTGCAGGTGTATGTCCCCCGTGTATGTCGCTATGGTTGACTGGTTCTTGATAAAGCACAATAAATGTTTTAACAAAAGTAAATTTAATGATATTATTTTCAAAAGCATTTTATTTAGGAAATCACACCATTGTAAGTAATCGATTTCACTGCATTCAAGAATTAGTTAATATCTCCAAAAGTGTTTACAACATTCTTTTATTCATGGACCCGTGAAGATCCGGGGTAGAATAGGTCTTCAGCAACCCATGCTTGCCACAAAAGGCGACTATGCTTGTCGTAAGAGGCGACTAACGGGATCGGGTGGTCAGGCTCGCTGACTTGGTTGACTCATGTCATTGGTTCCCAATTGCGCAGATCGATGCTTATGCTGTTGATCTCTGGATTGTCTGGTCCAGACTGGTTTATTTACAGACCGCCCCACGATGTCATTTACCTTTGGAAACGTCAGTACGTATATGCTTCCTGCTTCCGGTGTATATATCACCAGTTGAGTTCGCTGGGCTGGCAGATTCACTCACCTGACCTCTGGAATTTTTTGGGTAGATTAATGAACTCAATTATAAGTCGGTCTGTTTTTTTAGCTCCATTTTCTGGTATCAAATTTCCGACTTATAGTCGGTCATATACGGTACTAGCAAAGATACACCAGCACGATTGCATTGTTTATCTAGTAGCTCTGAACTGGCTGGCCAGACCATATTATCCATCACTTCTGCAACTACTAACAGACAAACCGCTCCGCCTTTCCTTGTGGCACAATCTGATAAGTCAACCAAAGTCCTGCAGAGTTTACGAGAATGTTCACCAACTCGACTTACACTTGTGGAAGCTCTCTTCAGTTCACTCAGAGAACAAGGTTTCACTACGGGAGCTACCAAGGCTATCACAGAGTCCATTAGATCATCAACAGCTGCCATGTATAATGCTAAGTGGCGATGACTCAACCAATGGAGACAAGAGCAAGGAATCATTGACGCCCCGGTCACCATACCAGTTATAGCTGATTTCATTCTGTATCTTAGGAACCAGAGACATCTGAAACATAACACGATTGAGGGGTATCGTTCGGTGATCGCATCAGTCATGGATGTTCAAGGACTATCAGCGGGATCAGATCTCACTCTTCATAAAATCATCAGATCGTTCCAAATTAAGGACATTGTGTCACCCACTATTTTTCCCAAATGGGACCTGACTTTGGTACTCCAATCGCTCCAGAGGGCCCAATATGAACCGATGCAGGATACATCACTAAAGTTCATATCGTTTAAAACGGCTTTCCTCCTCGCTTTTGCTACAGACTGTAGGGTTTCAGAATTACATGCCGTAAGTCCATTAGTTTTGCAGAGGGATATAAACACATGACATGTAAATACCAATTGTCAGCAGTAGTTTGGATCAGAGTAGAGACATAGAGGGATTACTGGTGGAATGAAATCACAGATTGCCGAAAAGGATAAGGTTTGGATCTTATGTGTCCTTAAACCTAACATCTGCGCACCATTGAAAGGGTAAGGGAAGCCACTAATTTCTCCCCCCCCCCTTAGGGTTTTCAATATACTGGGCAATAGGAATTTATCAAGAACCGGAAGTGACGTGATAGAACCGGAAGTGAGGTTATAACACCAGGAGTGATGCCACAAAACCGGAAGTGACGTTATAGAACTGAAAGTGTTGTCATAAACCAAGAATAAGTTGAATTAAGCCCAATATTGTCACCATAAATAAGGAAATAGAAGTCAGGGGTTGCTCGGGAACCGGTTTTCATCCCTTGCTACTACTGACCAGTATGGAGATAATCTAAGGATATCTCTAACTAAGTCATAGTTATTTCTAGTGGATTAAGGTTCATCTGGTGGTATGTACGGGAACATCTTCAAGGGGACCCTCCATCCTTATGTGGGATTCAGGCTACCATAATCCTGAGGGAATGTTTACGTTATGATTAGGAACAATTACATGTATTGTTAGTAATTGTGAGTAAACTTACATCTGGATTATGGGATCTACTACCCTCCCGTTTCTCCCCAGAAAAATTGTGAAGGGTTTTCAAACAACTATGCTGTGACGTCAGGGTCAGGGGAGATAATTCAGTAGACAGATTACGCATACCACTAGGAATAGCTATGACTTAGTGTATAAACTTTCATTTCATTTTCTGTATGTATCTGTGTAACCACAGGAATAAGGCTACCATAGTCCAGAGGTAAGTTTACTAACAATTACTAACAATACATGTAATCGTTCCTACTTTTGGCACATATATTTGTCTGTTATCAAAAATATCCAGGTGTAATTAAATTTTGCTATTTTCTTCCTTAGCTAGTTTTTCACTTCTGACAATTTGTGTAACCATGAACATTTTTGTTTTGCTTGCAATCAAAGGGTGTTTCACATTATATCCAATCTTATTCTCAACCTGAAAACTGATTAATCTCTCATTGATATGAATCAATTTGCAACATTTTGACTAAATGTTCAGTGCATTATTATTTTACAAGACTGTTGCTTCGTCTGTTGCACCTTTGATAAGCTTCCAGTCATGACAGAGTAAGGAACAACATTGCTTAACCACATCTGTATTTCAGTAAGATTTCAAGGAGATCTGCATTGCCTCATAAATTTTATTTCATCAATTTGTAGGTGAAGTTCAGGACTTGAAGCGTCTATTTGTCACAGGCTTAGGGAAGACCTTTACAGACAGTGATCTTAATCAGCTCTTCCCTGATGCAAATGAAACTGTGGTTATTCGCCGCCGGAATGGGAACTCCTTAGGGTAACAATTGCATTATAATTACCTTTAAGGTTGTGAACGTCCACAGCAATGTCTCAGTTTCAGAGCAATGTTACAATGTATCACATTAAATTTATGCAAATAGGTCCCTCGGGACACCTGCAGTTTATGGGTCCCCAGACCGGGAAGTAGAAATGTATTCTGTTTAACTCGCGCTTTGCACGAGCACGCGCCTTCTTCGGCAGTAAGTGACGCAAACAGCGTGTCTTACATATAGGGAAGCACGCGAGAGCGGGCTGATCTCCATTAGGAGACATTTGAGACGAAATTAGATGTCATTTTCGTGTTTACTGGCAAAAGTTTAGTTTAAAAATTCGTCTGAAAGACGATTGTTTTAAACACGAATTTTAGTAATGCTCCAAAACATTAATCCAATCGTTAGTAATCAAGGGGAAATCCCGATGACGTTCCTTTTCTCTGATTGGTCAATTGTGGACGCATGTGTCGAATGTTCCAAATAAGGTAGGTGAGTTGTATTTTGCTTGTCGCTTGATTTCAATCTTGTTTATTTGACTTGCTTAGCTATGGCTGTAAGGAGAATGATGTATGATGGTTTGTATGAGTTGTGTAGAGATGAGAGAAAGTTGATGGATTGGTTGGAAGCGTTTGGTTTTCGCGAAAGCGGGGGATATAGTATTAGGCTCCATCCGTACGTACGTACGTATGTACGTCCATACGTACGAATTGGAATATCTTAAGAACCGTTGACTGGATTCTTTTCATATTTGGGAGCTAGGTTCATCACAGTACAAGGAAGGTGCCAGTCAGGTTTGGTGACCTTGACCTTCATTTCAAGGTCACAAGGGGACTTTAACGTTTTACCTGCACGTTAAGCTATCTCAAGAACCATTTACTGGATTTTCTTCATATTTAACCCCAAGCTTTATCTAAGGAAGGCACAGGGCCCAGTTGATTTTGGTGACCTTCACTTAATTTTCAAGGTCATTGCGACACTTTGAAGATTTCAGTATGTAAACCTGCATGTTAAGCTATCTCAAGAACCCTTCACTGGATTTTGTTCATGTTTAATACCAAGCTTTATCTAGGGAAGGCGCAAGGCCCAGTCAATTTTGGTGACCTTCACTTAATTTTCAAGGTCACAGACACTTTGAAGATTTCAGCATATTAACCTACATGTTATGCTTGTCAGCTCGATACCTCAAAAGCCATTGACTGGAGTTTCTTCTTATTTGACACCAAGCTTCATCCAGGGAAGGCGCAGGGCCCAGTCGATTGTGGTGACCTTTACTTAATTTTCAAGGTCACAGAGACACTTTGAAGATTTCAGCATCTTAAATCGCATGTTAAGATAGTCATCAAGATATCTCAAAAAATAGTCTCTGGATTTTCTTCATATTTGTCACCAAGCTTCATCTAGGGAAGGCCCAGGGCCCAGTCAATTTTGGTGACCTTCACATAATTTTTAGGGTCACGACGACACTTTGAAGATTTCAGCATGTTAACCTGAATTGTCAGCAAGATATTTTAAGAACGGTACACTGGATTTTCTTCATAGACTTTCAGGACCTCCCTCGAATGTTTTTCAATAAACAATTTCTTTAGTACTAGTTTTGCATATTTCATACACTATGACATTCATGTCAAGGTCAAAGTCAGTGTTAAAATATGTGTGTGTTTGAACAACTAAAGAGCAAGATATCAAGAGAGGTTGACTGGTCATGTTTTTGTTGACATTTAACTTCAGCTTAAACTTTCATTACTTTATAAGTTTGATTTGATCATTTGGCGGCGGGGGATTATGTCACCGTAGTGGCAATGCTTGTTTTTATTGTAATGATAACCAGTTGAATATTGTATTTAGAAATCAGAATGTGCTCTTTCAATAAACTTTTGTTTTAATGTTAATTCATTAGTTTTAGTTGATATTCCCATTTCCAATACATACAATCATTTAGGTGCAAAGTGTATTCAGCTTTGACGCAAGAGTAAAAGCTCTGTCTCATACAATTGAAATAATATAGAAACTAAAGACAGAATTCAATGTAATCTTAAAAGCCTTTAATGAACTAACTTAATAAGCAGTGAACACAGTTACACAATGTAATGAACACGTTTATCTCACTAGTGATGAATTCGAGTGTGGATCATATCTCACTGATTCAATCTGAATCCATTGGGGAAGGTGGGAGTGTTATCCTTTGGCTTGGCTTTAACGACGAGAGGCAGGGCAGAAGACGTTGACAGTGTCGTGGATGCTACAGCAGCAGCAGAGACAGTGGCAGAAGATTAGGCATATTCTTAATAAGGAGTGTTATTGCATCGGCTGTCTTCGGATCAAGTGATCCCCTCTGGGGTGTAATGGTCAGACAGGCAGTGGAGAAGGCCCGTTATGAGGGAAGGCTGGTCCCTGGAATACTCATATATCGTTGAGCGAGAACAGCTAACCTCAGGAAGACGACTGTATTTTCCCACCACGAGTTCAAGAAGAAAGAACTGCCTCTGAGGAGAGAGGCTGACAACTTGTTGGAGGCATTTGAAAGTCACTATATTCCTGCTTGGCGGTCTTGTCTGCGACATCATCAGAGATTCCAATTGTGTCCCCTACAGTCCATTTGGATCAAAAGCGGACCGATGAATTGCAGTCCAACTTAAAAACTAATAAACATAAAATAAACAATGAAACGCTGATCATAATCAAAACATCAGACCAAATCTGCGATGACAGTGTTCCTGGAGTCGGTGAAGTGCAGGTCAAACAAGAGGAGGAGATCTTGCCGTCATCTAAGAAGAAGGTGAAGTTCTCTGAAAGTCAGAAGGCCATGTCCTTCCTACTACAGTATGCTGGACTCAAAAGCGGACTGATGAATTGCAATCTAACTAGAAAACTAATAAACATAAAATACTCAATGAAATGCTGATCATAATCAAAACATCAGACTAACTCTGAGGTTTTTGCAGAATTTATGTCTTAAAAATATAACAGTTGTTTAACAAACTATCATTTTGACACAGTTTACTATTTGTTAGGAGGGAGGAGTTCAGAGAAAGGGACAGCCAGGTGTTCGAGAAGCACATGCACAAGTGCCGACAAAGTTATTGATTCATTAACCTGTGCTGTGCCGTCTCCATCCTTTCTTGCACACCTGGCTCTCCCTTTCTCTGCACTCCTCCCTCGTATTTCAGTGTGTTTCAGACAGTGAACAAGGTGCTCCATCAGGGCCCAGTGAGCATCTTTGAGGATCAGGGAGTTATTTTTTCTTGTCATCATGAAGCACTGTAACATCATCAGCGTGTACTTCAACCAACCGCTCAAACATGAAGTAGATGGAGTTCCATGTGGTGCAGACATCACTAATGACGTGTTTGATGGGTTTCCATGCCAGTTTTTCTTCACCTCCTCCAGTTGCTGTGTGGCCACAAGTTATTTTGAGGAGACAAGTCTTCTTGTGTATGAGTGAAACATTGCATGTGGGTGTGGGTATTCAGCCATTCTGGTTGCAACTGTCATGTTGCTAGAGTTGTCTGTTGTTAAACCTGAATCCATTTGGATTTTGAATCCTGATTTAATTCCTTTCAGAATTTCAGCTATGTTTTCCCCAGTGTCACGCTATTGTTCAAGTCTTTTGGCAATAACACAAGATTTCAGCTGCCAATCACTTGTCAGATAGTGACCTGTTACAGTAACGTAGCCATGTGTGGCACAACTCGTCCACATACATGTATCTGTGGTTAGAGAAACTCCCTCAGTAGACTGGAACAGTGGACTCGGACCAAACTTTATGCTAACCTACATTATTCCATTGGTTTGGGTAGGTTGTTTTAGTTTTATTAGGTTGTTTTTTTCAATTATGCTACTGAAATAGAGTAACTGTGCATTATTTGATGTTATGCCATCTTTTTATACAAACAAATAATGATATGATTTGTGGTGTTTTCCTTAGTCAGTGTTTAAATGTTGACAGGATAATATCAAAATCTGCATGATTTGACATTAAAGTACTGTCAGAAATAGAAAAAAACACCTGTTTTTAGGCTATTACTCTGTATCCCTAAAATTTACGCAATTGCAAATAACATATGTCGAAATAACCCACTTCGGCCTAACTTGGTGTTCAGTGGGATGTGTAATAGGATATCCAGAAAAGCATGTTTACTCGTAAATTAAGAAATAAGTGCTGAAAACAATAGATCAGACTATAGATGGCAATTAGGTCGCTCAGCCAGGTATGACGATGGACCATCGACTCACCTGGCATGAAATGCATGTGCTGCCTTCAGGGGTCATCTCAAAGATATTTTATGCTTTTTCATATGTGTTGAATATGTTTCATCTATTGTTTGATTATGTGTCTTTCTTTCATAAAGTTTATGTTGAGATATGTAAAAGAGTATGATACCCATAGCTAAGCTTAAATCAGCCATCGTATTAAATGTCTCAAAAATGTGTAGGTGGCATGACCACCTGAAGATATACAAGACTGGATATTATTTGTAAATTGTATGACATACCGTTTGCTTCCCCAGTTTAATCCCCTCTAAAGGATTTTCTTATCTTGGCTGATATCTCTATACCCCTGCCCGACCCCATCCACCGCCTGCCACACCCATCCTGGTTTTGCTTTTGAGACGACCCCTCCTACCTGTGTGTTCTTATAGTGATAGTGAGACTCCTTGGTAGCTACATCCTTAATAATTTCAGTAGTAAAGTTACTATTTTTTACGTCAGCTAACGTTTATAATGAAGCTTAGTCTAACTGCAAAATGGGCATTTAAAAAAATGGCCTTTATAATACAATATCATCGCACATTAATTTGCATTAAGGCATGGTCTGTCCCAAATAAGTCGCTTTGGACTTAGAAAAAAACCGCATTGCTAATTTCTGCACTAATCTCTCCCCAGTAAAGTCCTTTTTTGACTACCGAGACTGTAGTCTCATAATGTTAACTACATAAATTGTAGATATAAATGTGACATGCCCTTGAAGAGATGTGGTGTCAAAAGTCGGTTCACAAACTCAGTA